AAATCAGGATTTTAAAAAGATTCCCAGGTGATTCTAATGTGCAGCCAAGGTTGAGAACCACTCCTCTAGAAGGAAGCTGGGAATGGCCTTCAGTTTACAATTAGCAAGAACATGGGGACCTTTCAGAGAAGTTAGAAGCAGAATTTGGTAGACAGGGTAAAGGGTGGAAGAAGGAGGAATCCTGGAAGTAGCTGAAATCACAAAATGTTTTGCAGAGAAAGAGGATAGCAGAAAAACAGGGTGTTTTGAAACAAGGATGTGTTTCTTGCAAGTGCAAAATAAAATGTTGCAAAAAGGCCAGGAACCAATCAGAGCGGCACAGAGAGACAGAGAGCAGGCCTTTAGCAGATATAAGGGGAAGAGCAGACTGTTTCCCCAGGAACCTTTTTGGGTCCCCTCCTTGACCTGGGAGCCTGTGTTTGTTTGCAATAAACGCCTGCCTTGTTTGAACACTTCCGGTCAGTAGCTTCATTCTTCAAAACTGTGAGAAATGACCCCAGGAATCACCTTAATCCTACAACCACATGGAAATAAATTCTGCCAGAAAATCAAATTAGCAGGAAACAATTCTCCCCTTTAGTTCAGTAAGACATGCACCAAATTTGCAATCTATGGAATTATAAAATAATATATTTATGTTGGTTTAAGACACTAAATGTTTGAATCATGCATTCTTTATAAGTATATTCAAATTATACTGAATAGTACTCATTGTAAACACATTATAAAAAAAATTAAATACATAAAAGTGGAGAGATAATTACATACTAGAGGCCGGGTGCATGAAATCCGTGCACATGAGGGGGGGGATGTCCCTCAGCCCGGCCTGCACCCTCTTCAATCTGGGACCCCTGGGGGATATTGGACAGTTGGACATCCCTCTCACAATCTGGGACTGCTGGCTCCTAACTGCTCGCCTGCCTGCCAGCCTGACTGCCCCCTAACCGCTGCCCTGCCTGCCATGACCCGCCTCCTCCATGCGAGGTGGAGGGGACACCAGATTGGCCTCTTCCAGCCTCTTCCACACCAGGCGGAGCCGCAGGCCTCACCGTGTGGAGCAGCCAACTGGCCGCCTGTGCAAGCATGGGGCCATCTTGTGAGGACGTCCCAGTGAGGGTGTGAGGACCACCTAGGCTTTAATTAGTGTAGATATGAATCCCACTAACCATAATTCTGCTTCAATAGCTATCAACATTTTGTTATACATTTGTAAATCGACCAGTAAGCTTGTGGCAGTTTATTCTCCCAGGCGGCTGACCTGTTGTCAACAGGGACTGTTTGGTTTTATCTCAGGTGAGGAAATAAGTTTCAGCTCTTCAGGATCACGGTTCTTACGACCTGAACAGCCAAACACTCTGAAAAGGAGCCATGACGCATTACTTGTGACCACGCGGTGAGAAAAAACAGGTCTTTCATAAACTAGAACCTGAAAAGCACTTCAACTCCTCTCTGAAAGCTATTCCTGTCGCTTAGGACTGAATTCAAGAGAAAGCTGAAGGGCGTACGGGAGGAGGAGTCTGGCTGCTGGGCTCTGGGATCCCTCTGCGCCCTCCGGCTCCGTGTGTCCGGACCGGCTGCGGCTGCGTGGCCGGCGGCAGGCCGAGGGGTGCTGGGCAGCGACCGACCACGGGGGAGCCCTTCCCCTGTGGTCGGCTCCCCGCTTGCCCGCACTGGGGCCGGGGATCCGAGC